TTTTCATATGAAGCACTAATACTAAGAACATATAATAAGTCAAAGAGGTGTAATTGTTATTGAGATTCATTCGAATATATACTTTTTTATAGTGAGAATTATATTTCAATTTTGTAATTACTTTATAGAAAATGATATACATTGTACATTTTTTATATTTTGTTTTCTAAATTTAATAATGTATAAATGGATGATGATTAATAATTAAAAAAATACAAGCAAAAAATAAAACATCAAAGTAAATGGATGATTGATCATTTAATTTAAATATAAATATAATTTTTAAGTTAAAATAGCATTACTCTTAATTTATATACAAATGTAGGAACAAGTGAGAGCCAATGGGGTTAGTGTACTTTTTCTTGAGGTCTTCTGGGAAGCATGGGAAGAGCGTGGCTCCTTTGATGACTGCTCTCTGATGCGCTCTCTTTCTCGTCTACAGACTCACAGATATAGTTTCACATAAACGGCATACCACGTACAAATTATTTATATATAATTAATACTTTTTACATGTAATATAATTTGGAAAAAACTACAAAGCAGGTATTCGATAAAAAATAAAGATTAAATTTCATATAACATTTACTCCTCATAGCTCAAATATGTCAACAGCATTCATAGTAGTTTTAGATTAAAGTGTCATCGTTAGTTTTTCTTCTAAATTAGCGAAGGTGTATCGCAAGTCACACCCACCATTTTTTTAGAGTGAGCTTAGTTTCTACAAAAAAATAAGATGAAATTAACATACCAAATATAAATATAATTAAATAAAAATTTAAAATAGATAATAATTAATGATTGATCTAAATATAATTAAAATTAGTATTGTTTTGAAAATTGATTATTTTAGTTATCTTTTTAAATTTTGACAAAAATATGTACTAAATAGTAGCAGGAGAATACTTGATTTTTTCGTAGTGAACTTTTTACTTTTTATTATTATATTTTAGTCTACTTGTACAATAGCTCATAGTTGAAAAAGTTAAATTGTAATAAATAATTAAGAATTTAAAATTTATTATATCTTAAATATAATTATAATAAAAATTTAAGAATTATAATAAATAATAATAATTTTGATTTAATTAATTAAATCAGACATTATAAACTATGTATGAGAGATAAGAGAGAGAGAGAATAACAACAACACATAATAAAAAAAAATAAAAAAAAGTAAGATTTGAAGATATTATAACTATGAAAAATGCTAACACCCCCAGTGGGGGTCACTGGGGTCGCCTGATAGCTGAAAAAAAAAAAATTTTTTTTTTTTTTTTTTTTTTGAAGTCCACCAATGGCAGTGTGTCACCTGCCACTGGATGTCACTGGGGTCTGCAGCATAGCCTTATAACTATTTTGTGGCAATCAAATCTTGAAAGCAGAGATATTCGAGCCAATCATATAGTGGGATCTGTTGCCAGCTGGCAGGAGACAACCAATCAGTGCTCGACAAAATTAAGGTTGCAACTGGAGAGCGGCATTCCGTACATGCTGTATTATTTTCTATTAACAAATAGTTTTGTATAATTTTGGGAAATAACTTGACAGTGATGTCAAGAAAGGTTAAGGGGCCTGTTTGGAATAACTTAAATAAGTGTATTTTTTATTTTTTTTATAAAAAGATATGTAAAAAAAATGAGAGAAGTAATGTGATGAAAAAAGATAAAAAATGAATTATTTTTGAACTTTCCAAACTTGGTTATAATTATAAAAGGGTCATGGAGTTGAGAGTTAAATATATATATATATATATATATAAATATATGAGAATGTAAATGTTATTTGTGATAGGGTGTAAATAAAAAATTATACTTACCTCTCCGTATGTTAATAATTTTTTTTTGTCAACTCTTATCTGCATGTAGTTTTTCCATTACAAAAAGAATAAAAATATATTATAATATTAAATTATAATATAAATCTTTTATTAATTTATAATTAATTTTTAACTGACACAATGTAAGTGTATTTTTTTTTTTTTTTTTTTTTCCGCTAACTGACGGCTTAACGGGCTTCTTGTGTATATAAAGGGGTTGCACAAAATACTACTATAATTAATACTAGAAATTTCTTAATATATTCATAAATTTGTAAAATATACATTTATGAATATTATAATATACTTTTAATAAATTGGGACAATTAACCAAGGGTTGCGACTTTTGGTAAGAGTTAGGCATAAGTCCTGAGATCTCAGGTTCACTTTTTCGAGGTCAGTTATCTAGACGACAGTCTATATAGTTGAAGGGACGAACCTTTTGAACTTTGGCGAACCGTACCCAGTGTTAGGAGTATGGATTCAAATTTTCGCCTGTGTGTGAGTCCATGACTTACCGCTACATGGTTGAGTGACCCTACTATTACATATTTAGTGAATTTCAAAAAAAAATTATAAAAAATTGATAAATATTATAAATATTAATAATTAAAATTATAAACTTTTTCATTATATTGGAGTAATTTTTGAAAATATTCTCTGACTAGTAATTTTCCCTAATAAATTTACTAATTTAAATATCCCAAGTCACTAATAAAAAAAATATTAATTTATTGATACAAATGTTTCAATAACAAAATAAGAAAACATTAGATATAAAATTTTATAAGTATTGTGGATAAGTTTCCACAATTGTAGTTGATGAGTTGAATAGTAAAATATTTTCATAAGTGTGCAGATTCAATTCTGCAATATAGAGTGAGTGTGCTTTGTGGACGAACCCTCATGCTCCGAGGGAAGAATGCCTACACATGTAACAAACAGTGAGGTTGCTCGACTGGTGTTCGATCAGAAACTCCTCCTATGGTAAAGTCAAGCCAAAGAGAGAGGGTAGAGAAGACGAGTGTATATAGATAGCGTAATTAAATTCGGATCCCTTCTAAAGGGAGGCGAGATTACCTTTTATAGGAAACGCTTGACTTGCTCATCAAGTTTCTCTCTCTGCCACCTAGCACTCAGCCGCTAACAAGGTCACTCCTCATTGGAGGAAAACAGAGACTTTGTTGAGCGGTTCCATTATTCGCGAGCACTACGCGCCCCTCATTCACATGGCATTGGTTAATTTATTAGAGCTCAACGCAGCTTAACTCACTTCAGAGTAAGAGTCTAAGTCATGGATTTATCTACTTCGGAATGGGGATGGGTACTAGGATTAGGCCCATGACCTTGCCCACTTCGGAGTAGGGGCCAGGGCTGAGCCTCTAGCTCACCCCACTTCAGATTAGGGAAAGGCTAAGGCTAGGCCCATGGCCTTGCCCAATTCAAAGTGGGGAAAGGGCCAAGGTTGAGCCTCTAGCTTGGCCCACCTCAGAAAGGAGACCTTCTTCTTACCAAACTGGGTCTTGTACAAATGAGCTTGAGTAATTATCTCTTCAATAAGTAAATATATGAATAAAAATACCTAATATTTCATATTCTATATTACCTATTTATAATTAAAAGATAAATTTTGAGTAGGTAAATAGGAGCTTTAGTCTAGTGGTTACGTAGCACTACAAGTTCAATTCTTATAAAGAGTAAGTTTGATATTTTTTGTGGTATTCATTTCATCCCAAATTGATAATACATGTTACATATACATGAGTGTGTATGTTAAAATACCCTGCAATGCTAGGAGTGGGATTTGGCGCATGACCGTTAACACCAACTTGAACTATAGAGTTGGTCATTGAATTATATTTTTTTGTCGGAGAAAAACTTTTTGTTTTGAAGTCTTATAAGATGTTCGGATATTAATAAACAGTAATTCAAATTATATGTATGGTGAGTTAATCATGAATCTTTTTAATTATTTTCATGAATATTAATTAGCAAATATATTATCTTTATGGATGTAATGTTTTAAACATATTACGCTTATGCATGTGATGTGAAGCATGTTTGTTTGAAATAAACAAACTTCTTTGCTCCAGTGAAATTCGCCCAGTAAAAAATGAGTGGGAAACTCATCTCTCTCTCTCTCTAGTATAGTGAAATATAACAAAATATAACTATCAAAACTCATCCCTCTCTGTCTAGTATAGTGAAATATAACAAAATATAACTATCATAGTAAGAGGAGAAACTCGAATTCTTGAACTTTAGTGAAGTTTCTATCCATCTCATTCGACTATATGATTGATTATGGTTGAACTTTAATGAACCCTATATCCATCTCATTCTTGAACTTTAATTAAGCAAAGTTGATTATCATTTGGTTCATTGATTAAAATCCAAAAATATCGGCTTAAACCAAACCATCGGTTTGTGTTTATGTATTATTTTTTTATTATTTATATAATTTTTATACTACTAATATAATTAAAAATTACAATCCTATACTATATAATATAAAGAATTCGTTGTGTCTTTATGCATTTTATAAAAACTAATTTCGAGAATATTCTAAACGTTTGAAATATGCTTGTGGATTCTTTTGTAATGCTTTTGTAGGTGGAATGAATTTTTGCTGAAATGGATAGTCTAGATCTAGTAATGAATTTTATTATCCTAAAACTGAGAAACCAAATTGGAACTGAACTCATGATTTTGCGGTTTTGTTAAGTTTGTTCTAAAGATTTCATAATTTGATTTAGTTCCTAATTTTTTAGAATCGTAGAGATCGGTTTGAATCTTGGTTCACCTTAGAATCAAACCAATCCGTTCAATGCACAATATTTCTAGCTAGGACACTAACATCCATATGTTATGTTCTTTAGTTTTTTACCCCCCAGCCAATTTAATTATTTATTTTATAAAAAAAAATGATATATTAATATATTTATTATAAAATACCTACTATACCCCAGATGAAACTACTTACACTATCTTAAACATTGAATTTTATTTTATTTTTTATTCCAAAGTAGAAGTTTAGCAGGGAAAAAAAAAATTAGCTAGAAAAAGAGAAGGATTAAATTGTATGCTTAAATGTATTGGATGTAATATAATTTTATAGTCATGCTTCAACAAATCAATGTCATTATATCAAAATTTACTGTTTGCATGTTTGTATTTGCAGTGTTAGGGCAACAATTGAAAGGTACAAGAAAGCATGTAGTGATGTCCCAAATACTGGATCTGTTTCTGAAGCTAATACTCAAGTAAACTGGTTTATGTATTTATTTTGTACAAATAATTTTGTTTGTTTAACATATAATGATGATCATATAGAAAGCGAAATTGGGGTATTTTTCATTTTGTTACATGTGAATTGGATCAGTTTTACCAGCAAGAATCGACCAAGCTGCGTCGACAAATCAAGGACATACAGAATTCAAACAGGTAAAATCCAAGAGATACTATTACTCTATTAAGTTCAAATTCAAGTTCATGCATTGAATTGAAGTACTTTCTTCTTCTTTTTTTCAAGTAGGAGTGATTGAGATTTGCATATAATTGAATAAAATTGTAATATTTATTTGCAGGCACATTTTGGGAGAAGCTCTCAGCTCTTTAACTTTTAAGGAACTCAAGAATCTGGAGAGCAGATTGGAGAAGGCCATTAGTCGGGTTCGATCAAAAAAGGTAACATCCACTCCAATCTCTCTCTTCTTTTTTTTTAATGCATTTATTTTTTTTTTCTTTTGAAATTTTTTTCCATTGTGGAATAACAAAGTTTGTAATCTACCAGAATGAATTGTTGTTTGCGGAGATCGAGCACATGCAAAAAAGGGTAACTTACTAATCTATTCTAAATCCATTCGTGCTTGTCATATTCTTATTTAGAAAGTGGATTGAAGGTTTTTGAGAAATTCTGAACACCTAGTTTTAGGAAGTAGAAAAGAAGTGCAGTCTAATTTATGTTGCAAATGTTAATATATCATGTTTTAGTTTTAGTAGTAAATAAACCAAAACCAAAACCAAGAATGATATAATTGTATGATTATTTAACCTAGCTAGTTTTCTCATGACATTGGCAGGAGATTGAGCTGCAAAATGCTAACATGTATCTGCGGGCAAAGGCCTCTCTCTCTCTCTCTCTCTCTCTCTCTCTCTCTCTCTCAATTTTTGACTTCACATTTATGGAAATGAAGTGTTTGGAATGGCATTGTGCAGATAGCTGAGAATGAGAGAGCACAACAGCAAGAGCAAGAGCAAGAGCAAATGAATTTGATGCCAGCAGGAGGTGGAGGCGGTGGTGGTATGGGGGCTTATGATGCTCGAAACTTCTTTCCTGTAAATCTCCTCGAACCTTCTCCTCCCCCTCCGAATCATCACTACTCTTGCCACGACCAAACACAACTCCAACTAGTGTAAGATTCTTTCTTCTAATCTCACAATCATTTTTTTTTTTTTTTAAGATTTTCCAATTTCCATATCATGTTCTAGATTTTCCCATATTAGATAACCTGTATCCATATATGTTTCTTGATGATATTGGGGCAATAAAACTGTATGATAGAAAGGAGGAAAAATAATATATAATGCCTCCAATTTCATGGAGGCAAAAATTATCTCCCAAGCATTAATTGAAACATGAGAGAGAGAGAGAGAGAGAGAGAGAGAGGAATAGATGTGTTTGGCTGCATACTAGTCCCTAAATAGATGTGTTTGTATTTGTTTTGCTAGTTTAGCTATTGAATACTAATTTATTTATTTTTAATTGTTTGTGATGTTTTGGGTGCAGTTGATGATATTGAGAGAGAGGCCTTTTGATCAAGTGTTCTGTATCTGCCCTTGAATGTTTAATCTAGAATCAGAACTATATTTATTTTTGTTAAAATACATATATATATATATATATATATAAGGGGCAATTAAATATTCCAACTCCAAAGCCAAGTAAAATGCAGGTACTTGGTGTTAGTTTGTAAAAGTGATTCTCTAATTGCACTATTTTATAGAATTGTGGATAGAGATAATAATGGTCCCGTTTGGTAAAGTCGTGGGAAAGTGATTATAACTTATAACCTAACAACTTATAACTTATAGTTGTAAATATAAGTTGATTTTTTACTTATAAATTAAGTTTCTCCGCCCCCACTTAAAGAATAAGTTGATTTTTGACTTACAAAAAGCTATATGTTGTATTGTTAAGCTAAACTAAACATATCAAAATAGCTTAAATTAAACTAAAAGCTGAAATAAGCTGGAAATAAGCCCTACCAAACAGGGTCAATGTTGTTTAGATATTTATATATCCTAAACCAAGCCTCTCAATAATTAATATTTTGAAAGAAAAAGAAAAATGAGCATTCTGGATTTGTTTTTTTAAAAATTTTACTACTTCGATCTTTTTAAACATGATGAAAATGCAACCACCAAAAAACTAGAATTAAAAATAAAAATAAAAACTCATGTTACAAAACTGGCATGAAAAGTCGCAACATAATTAATTGATATAGTTTAAACAAAACGAAAAAAGAGAATAAATAAGGGTTTATGAAGAACTATGAAAATTGAATTTTTCCATATAGTGTTACAGATTTATCAATTTGGCTGGGCACTTAATTATAATTTACTGACTATTATCATTTATCTATGTCATAATATAAAAAGTATTTTATTTCTACCTTGATTATGAATCACCTTCCAACTGCCCTGACAATAAGAACTTTTTTTTCTTTTCTTTTTACTTTTTAATCAGCGAGAATAACCGCCTTGTTAACAAGCATTTAGATGTTTGCTTAACAAAATTTAAAATAGTTAATACATTAGTCATGGCCAATAGCGGAGGTCATATGCCCCTTGAATTTTTCAATTTTTTTTTTTACATATATATATATATATATATATATATATATAATTTTAAACAAAAATAATATTTAAAATAAAATAGGAAAAATTAGTCTAAGATCTTTGCCCAACTTTTAGTAGGAGGAGAGGTCCACAATAATATTTTTTGATGTCTAAAGTCTTCAATGTTATTTTAGATTGTAATGGAGATTTTCCTAGAACATGATCAATGATGCCTTTTACACTTTTTTTTTTCTCTCTCTCTCTCTCTATACTGTGTATCACTACTAAGCTTCAACAATGGCAGATGAAGAAGAAGAACAACAAACTCCAATCTATGAATTCCCTCTTCCAACATCGTCTCCTGGACCGCCCTCCCTCATCTCTGCTCTCTCCAATTCCTTCATTTCTTTCCGCTACTTCGTCTCCATGTTCTGCCACCCCACCCTCTCTAACCACTGCACTCTCGCCACCCTCTTCGAGTCCTGCTCTTCTCTCTATTTTCTCTTCTTTTGGCCTCCAACTCCACACACTCTCTCTCAAGCTCTCTTTATCTTCCCAACCCTTCACCGCCTCTTTGCTTATCAATTTTTATTCCAAAACCCGACTTCCAGATAATGCTAATAAAGTGTTCGATGAAATTCCTTACAAAGACCAAGTTTGTTACAGGTCTATAATTGTTGAATTGAATTTTCTCTGATTTAGACCAGAGAATTTCTCTAGTTGAATTTTCTCTAGTTTGGACTAGAGAATTTTCTCTAGTTGAATTTTCTCTATTTTCCCAACCCTTCACCACCTCTTTACTTATCAATTTCTATTCCAAAACCCGACTTCCAGGTAATACTAGTAAAGTGTTCGACGAAATTCCTCACAGAGACCAAGTTTGTTACAGGTCTATAATTGTTGAACTGAATTTTCTCTGATTTAGACTAAATAATTTCTCTTGTTGAATTTTCTCTATGAGGCAATGCTATGGTAAGACCATTCCTACTGTTTTTTTTATCCGTTGAACATTCTACATTTGTTATGTTACTATTTTTTGTACAATTTTCTCTAGTTTGATCAAAAACACAAATTTTTCCTACACAATTTTCTCTGAATAGAGCCACACAAAGCTACACAATTTTTCTCTAACACAATTTTCTTTAGATAGAGCCACACAAGGCCACACAAATTGCCTCTAACACAATTTTCTCTGGATGAAGCCACACAAAACCACACAAATTGTTTCTAACACATTTTCTTTAGATAGAGTCACACAAAGCCACACAAATTTTCTCTAGCACAATTTTCTCTGGATTTCTTTAGTACTCAGAGAAAATTGGTCAAAATGGTAGTTACTCAATTTTCCCTAGTTTGTTGTTGTCTAAATGGTTTACAGTCTGGTTTGATAAAAAAACACAGAGAAAAATATGAGCAAACCAAAGAAAATTGGTTAAAAACACAGAAAAATTCTCTGGAAAATCCAGAGAAATTGGAGAGAAAATCTATGGGAGGAAACCAAAGAAAATTGGTCAAAAATATAACGAAATTCTCTGGAAAGTCTAGAGAATTTTTATGAGAGGTCCCGAGAAATTCTTTAGGAAGTACAGAGAAATTCTCAGAGAAAATCTCTAGGAAGGCCAGAGAAATTCTTTGGGTCGAATTTTATAGATATTGAGGGACCTTAGACATTATGAAAATATTTGGTGTCCTTTATGCTATAAAATCTTAATACCAGGGACCTTAAAAAAAATACCCAATAATATATCAAGGGCATTTTTAAATTTATGAAAACAATAATTATTGTTTTATTGAAAATAAAGTAACTACAACAAATTAAATTTTTATGTATGAAAGTTTTGTGAAAAAATTTCAATATAAAAGTAATAACCATCATTATTGATATACAAATATAATTAATCTCACTCTATGTATGTAAAAATTACTAGAATGTTAATTATATTTACATGTGAAGATCACCATTCATATGTTACTTTACTATTGATTAGTGATATCATACGTCAATAATAACATAATATCATTATTATATGAAATTTTTATTCAAATTTTATACAAATGTGATTTATCTTACCATTATATAATTTATTTTACAACTTAAATGTATGAATTTTTTACGTTGTCCATAATACACTAGTTACACATAATACTTTCTTTTCAATTTTACTCTGAGTTAATTGTAAAATTTTATATAAAATACTTTTGTAATAATTTATTTAATTTTTTGTACTTAATATTAATTCAAAAATTATTATTATCTTCTAATTGTTGGTTAAAAAAAAAAAAAAACTGTAATTAATAAGTGCCCTCCTAATTTAATTTCCTAGCTCCACCACTGTTCATGGCATGCAATTCTATAAAAGGAAATGGTCAATCATTACAAGTTTGTTGGCGCTTAATAACAAAATCCACAACTTCATATCTAAGAGCAGGTGGCTCAGCAGCATACTGACAGATTAACAAAACCAAATAAACGTAATCAGAAGATGATAAGAATTTCATTTAAAATTATACTCTGTTACCCAAGATTAGAATACAAATTCAATCTTCCAACTTTTCATCTGCAAAGTGAATACTCATCTCAAGCCTTAAAATCAAACCCATTTTCCTCCTATTATTAAAGGATGCTAATAAATTCTTTATCTCAATCATAACCTGTTTTGCAGAATCTAACTTCCATTTTTCACAAGCATTTGACTCATCACTAGGATTTTCTGTAATCAGAGGTGGCCAAGTGTGACGGTGTTCAACTATTGAGAAAAGAAATCATAACAAGCGAACTATTATTGAGAAAAGAAAGTAATTATAGGAGTCTGAATAGAATAACTTTACAATAACCTAATATTGCTACATCCATATCAATATTGAAATCATAACAAAAGAAACTATTGGGAAAAAGTATTTATAGACGTCTGACTAGAATAACTTTACAATAACCATATCTCAATATTGAAGGTATTTTAATATCTGGATTCTATTGTGTATGGCGGGCTACTACGTACCTTATCTGTTATCTATATGGAACAACAATTTCATACAGTTCAGAGATCAGAGTGAACAGAGACTGAAGGCAAAACCTTCTTCCCTCTGGCTCACACTATACCTCCGGTTTTGGATCCCAAAACAAATATATGTGAAGAGTGAGAGGACTTTGTCCTGTTCACCCCATAATTCTACACATCCTAATAAAATTGTTCGACAAATTTACATGTCTATTCCATAAGCTTCGTACCTCAGGGAACCCAATCTCGAGCCATGGCTTTGCAGGTCCACTGAAATGTATAACAGTGGCAGCTTCCAATATCTGTGGGGAAATTGGGGGAAACCAATTACCTAATCCAGCCAAATGCCACGAAGAATTAATGGGATGCATGTGACCATCGAATGCAATCAAGGCTGGTGGAAGTGCTCCAGGACGCCATAATGTCATCCCAGAATTCAGGTTCTGAAATAACACAAGTATTTGCCAATCATTCTTTTGATATCTGAGAATAGTGGAAAAATTGAACAGATGTACAATAATGGAAAATTTGCCTTAATATAGAACCCAAATCAATAATATAAGGCACCCCTTTGGATGAGTGGACTTCAAATGAATGGATTTGACGTTGAATTTTATGGCATTATAAGAAGATTAGCTACTGAAGACAGATTGATAACTCTTAACATTATAAGAAGATTAGCTAGAAAACAGATTGATAACTCTAAAGTAGAAGATCGAATAGAGGTGTACAAGACATGTATTTTGTTAAGATCATTGTACAAGTGGAATCTTTATGGAAGGATTTCAAGTTACTTGAAATTCATCATTATAAAGCTCTCAAAACACACTATTGACATCCAAATCCAAAAGTATTACATTAACCTAAAGGCTATATACTACTCAAATTATTGATGTCAAATCCATTCATTTCAAAAATGGAAAATGCATTAATGTGCATTTTGGGGAGCCAACCAGAATATACTCACAAGTTTAAGCCATTGATGGTAGGTTGTAGTGATGTTTGTCTTCCTCCAAGCCTGAAGATCAAAGACATTCATCCCATACAACCATCCACAACGATCATAGTCCAAGTTCGATTCTATGATGGGGTTTGTAAAATTGAAGTAGTCCTTGTATTTCCTTCCTGGACAACAGTTGCGTCCACACCATGAGTCAACCACTGCACCAACAACTTTCCCATTGAGATCCAATTCCCAGAGGGATGATAAATCATGTTGTACTACAATATCATCGTCCAAGAACACAATCTTGTTCAGATCCGGAAACAGCTGTGGGCCCATGAAAAATCAGATAATAAATAAATCTTAACAACATATTCATAATCAAGATCATCCTATGATTGATCAATGAACTATGGGGAAAAAAAAAATTGAATAAATATACCTCAGGGATATAAATCCGGAGATGATTCATAAGAGAGAGACAGCTTGGGCTCAGAGCTTCTAAATTTCTTTTGTTTCCTTCCTCAAATTCAAAGTCATCTTCTTTTAAATTGTTGTAGTTATGGCTCCAAGTCAGGCGATGAATCTCTAGCATCTCCCTCACTCCAACATTCACTTCATGAGACCAATCATACTGATGCAATCCCTTGACCTCCACAACCGCTGAATAAATGGAACTTACTGCAAACCATGCATGCATAGGAGTGTATGTTTTCTTGTCAGTGACTATGTGAAACACTAATTTCTCGGGGTTGGCTGAGTTTTTTACAGTAGATGAGATGACAACAGAGGCAGCAAGGACATTGTCAGTTAGAAGAACAACATGGTGGAAAGAAGAGTTAGTGAGACGAGAAACAAATTCAGGTGGAGGTAGGCGAGATCGTGCCATGGCATTTACGGCATACTCTTCAGCCAACCTCAGGCAAAGGCAATGATGGCTCTTGGGGACACCATGCGAAGCTAAATGCCAATAAATGGACTCACGCCGCCTAGCCAATTGAATCTTGTGCTCCATCTTCAACATCTGCATAATGCACCGAAAGTTGCTCCAACTGTTATTTCAGGATCAGTACTTAATACACTTGATGTCAGTACAACAACAGTATTTTAAATGATTTATGAGAGGAACTCAATACTGTAAATGTTACTGTGTCAGTCCAGTTGTGTTGATTCATTTTCATAATACAATGTAGAAGTACCATTCTATTTGCATTGACTGGGCTAGTTTTATTTGCCGGCATTTTTCCTCATTAAGCATTTTTCCACAATGAAAGCATTCCCCTCCATTTAAAGTAACAATGAAAAAAAGGTTCAAAAGCTATTCAAAGAAGTCTTCTTTGTAATCACTAAACCAAATCGAATGGGCAAAATATGTTCCCTAGATTAAAAGCTTCAGTTTAATTTAACAATTGAAAGATAGGTACTTGTGAAAGTACAAGTACCTAAGTAAATAGCACATTCCTCCAACTTACTAGCAGTTTCAGCCACATACATAAAAAAAATTAGAAGGGCTACATGTCTCAAATAGTTCCAGCAGCACCTAGAAACATCAATCACATGCTTAAATATAAATAGATTAAAATATTACCCTCTTCTAACACGAGAGAAAAAATCAAGGATCGGCATTATTGCCCTACATTACCCTTGTTTACCCTATCTAACATTTCTTTTTCTTTTTTTTGTTAGTGTACACAAGCATATGCAAGGTAGAAAGGAAAAAAAACAACAAAAAAAAAAGAGAAAAAAGAAATAATCCTGCCAAACTCCTAATGGGATGGCAGGAAGTGGCATCAAAGATAGAAATATGATCTTCACCATATTCATATCTACTAATATGTAATTATCGTGCAGTATGTGCTTGAATATGCTTCTCATACATACAATGAGAAAATGTACAAGCTATGAAGCACGGGTGCGGGTACGAGTACGGTACGGGTACGAGTGCGGGTAAGCCGATACGTCAAAACTCAAAAAAAATATGATATGGGTACGGCTGCGGTACGCCGATAATTTTTATTTTTATTTTTATAATTATGGTTAAAGGATCCAATCTACAAAATAAAATTTAATATCAAAACTAAAAAAAGAAATACAAAACTAAATATAATTGTCAAATGGTCATGATTAATATCATTTTAAAAATTAAAAATTAAAAATTAAAAATTAAAAGTTTGATTTATCATTAAAGTGAAATTCTAAATTATTATTATTTTTTTATAATTTTTTTTTCCCTTCAAAAGGTTAAGTGGGTGTATAATTTATATTATACTGTATAGAGAGAGAGGGGTGTAAATAAAAGCAAGCCACTTTACCAATTCCCATACCAGTTCAATTCAACGAAGACAATTACAACACTTGACCATTCATTCTCTCTCTCTCTCTCTCTCTCTCTCTCTTAGCAAATCAACCCAACGCAGCAGCACCGAACCATTCTGAACGAGCACTTCGTCCTCCCCCTCTCCCTTTCTTTCCACGACTCGCTGTTCACCCTCGAAATCTTTCACTCCAAACCCTCGAAATCTTTCACTCCAAACCCTCCGAGACCCCCAAGCCCTTAGTCGACTCTCTTCGTCTCGCTGTCAAGGAACTCACTGGCTAGGATGAGGATTTCGAATGAAGAACTGCGATTGAAGATTACAATGCTCTCCAATAAACCTAGGTCTATATATATTTTTAATATTACAAGATAACTCTCTATTTTTTGTTTTTTTTAATAAGGAACATAAATAAATTGCTCTGATATTCCTCAATCTCTTTACAATTTGATTTTTTACCCCGGCGTACCCTTCCATACCCACGGCGTACCCATGCCGTACCCAAATGTACCAAACGTACCAGACCCTCTTTGGCCGTACCCGGTACGCGTGCAACCGTCCCGGTACGCATGCAGCCGTACCGGTACGCGTATCCGTACCTGGTACGTACCCGGTACTCGTACGGCATCATTTTTGGAGTACCTGTGCTTCGAAGTGTACAAGAAAGGTGTATGTTTTCTTTAATTATCTTCCTTTCTTTTTTTTTTTTGGGAGTGCACAGAGAGGAGAGGATTTGCTAAGAAAGGACTGGAAAAGTAATTAAGTTATTACATTTTAAAAATAAAATAAAAATTCATGCATCATAGAAATCTCATGAGTTAGCTTGTCACAAATTACTCATATCATATCTATGTTCCTATTTGTAATGATGATCTTTTATCACAATGATGCATTATATAATGTTGACGAGTCAAAAGCTAGTTTTAGAAAGTTATGTATATTTAACAACATGCAAAGAACTGGTTTTAAAGAGAAAGAGGAAATCACAATATTGTGTATTTTTCTAATAGTCTACTTTGGTATTTCATCCCGTAATAGAGTAAGTTATTGGATCCTAGTATGCCACATAGTTTGTTCAACTAATGGTACAGTTTTGGCTTTATTAGTGTTTTATTTAGTTATGAACCAAAGAATTTACTTTAGCGAAAAAGGTACCTGTTTAATTAGCATTCAAATTATGTTCAAAATCATGGAAAGGATCTCCATGTCCGTTTTCAAGCTATAAAGGATTTAAGAGGGGGGGGAGGGGGGAGAAAAGCAATTTTTCAAATTTTGCAGAAATTTCTAAATGGCATTCACTAAACTCCATGTTCATATTTCTTTTGCAGCAATAATTTGGCATGACCATGCTTGCCACTTCACAGTTCATGTGTGGTCCTACTACGACACATGAAAAAAATAGAACCTTAGCAAGGACTAGAGAGTTAAAAACATTTATCAGAAAGGAGAATGAGTAACTTCCACATGAATATTCATTAAAAAGAAATTGGGTGTTGATAATGATTAAAGAACAATCTGCTACCATATCAGTGAAATACTCATCCCTGCAACATAAACAATGTGGAAGTACAACTCCTAAATAAGCTAAAGGCAATTGTTGACAAGATGATATGGAGGTGCATTACAAACTAATGTAAGTGTACAAATAAATGAAGTATAGTTGTATAACTTGTTTTTGCAATTGAAGGGAAGGTGCTCTGGCAAATCATTCTACAAAATATTTGTATAATTTTTTTATGTCAATACCCATTTTAAAATGCAGTAACAACCAGATAAATATTTCACATAGATGTTTATCTAATTCCAAAGCACAGAATGTTTTCAAATATTAACCAAATAATGTCCTAGGCTGCCAATATTGTCAAAACATTGCATCAGTCAAAAGTTAAAAACAATGCACTGGCTGTCCTAAGATAACAAAATACCCACATCTAACATGGCCGTAAAAGAGAAAATAAATTAGGGTCCCATCATTTAGCTCCATACCACAAGTCAGCAAACCTGAAAACTGGCTAAGAAGTAGGAAACCACTGATGAAAGATGATTTCAAAAGAGCAGAAACGAATGCAAATATAGACAAGTAAAGATTGGAGTAGTAATAATATTAGTAGTAGCAGTGAGGTGTTTGTACCATAGCCTTGGTCTTGAAAACGAAGGCTTTGATGTCTTGGTTGCTTGATGTTACATCCTTCACAAGATCCTTGAATGATGACGATGAACTGTCTATCCCTGTCACTCTATCCTTGTCATCATTGTTCACCTCCACAAATGCCCTCACCAGCTCTTCGTTGAGCTTCTTTATGTACACACCATGACCACAGTAAGGGTCAAAAAAAAAAAAAAAACATAGTCAGCTTATCACACCTCAGATGACTAGGAGTTACCTACACAGCAGGATGACATAAAAGCCAAAAACAAAGTTCCCAGATTCTATCTTTAGTTATTTACCACACCAAGTGGCATTACAGATATCCAGAGCAGTAACACCAAAAGGAGATAATGTTATGTCCCGAGCAATTTGGACAGCTTTCGAAAATAGCACTCCACTAATGATCTAAGAATCACAGGCACAGTCAATGATATAGACACCAATATGACATGAACATGTTGGCACAAGAAGTTTTAAAAAATGCAAGATATATACGTAAAGGATATACTACACACACAATATATAATTTTATATATATTATATGTCATATATGTGAATAGTTTAGTTAAAATAATTTTAAAAATACAATGTAACAATAATTTCTAAAGTTTAAAGGATGAAGAAATAAGAGGCACAAATCAAAGTACTATATTCTTAGAAGTGTACTTTGTTTTTAATTAATTGGGCATGATATCACAATTGTTTTATTCAATTATTTTCATTTTTTTTTTTTACTTGTAACAAGACAAGGTCAAGTGGAGTGTAGTGCAGAATAGCTAAGCACATGGGACGGAATCAACTAGTGAAAGTGAAGTTATTCAGTGTTTGAGCAAGGCCGCCACAGCAGTTTACCCAATCATTAGTCTCGCGCTCTAAAAGCACCAAAAATTATCAAGTGGAAGTGGAACATCAGCAATCTCCGAAAATGCATGTCAAGTGGACTGGAATACCGGTTTTAAAAAAAATTAAAAAAAAAAAGAAAAAAGAAAAAAGGGGAAAAATGAATTCTATATGGTGGCATTAGCCACGTGGTGAAGAAAACAAGTAGTGGCGGTGGATTATCAACAATCTCCCAAAATACGGTCACCCATTGATTCTAATGAAATTCCAGTTCTCCAGTTAAAGATATATATAAATATATCCCTATTTCTCTTTGGTTGGATGAAAATGACATCACAAATTCTTGAGGTTATTTTTGAAACAAAAGGGGGAACTATTATACAATCAAACTACTAGACTCCAATCACCAGCTACCTGGTTGGAAAATGAATATAAAATACTAAGCTCTATCACTCAAAAGCTTCTTGACGTTGGTGTAGGAATACAGTTAAAGAGGTTGAAGATAATTCAAGGATTTGGCAAAGGATGGTGTAGTCAAAAGTCTTTCTCGATTATTTTCAGGGCATTTTTTCAACTGACTTTCCTACAGATTTAGATATAGCCCTTCCTACTATTTCCCTGAAGGTGTTTGAGGGGAGGAATTTGGATGTCTCGAAGATTTACAGTTGATGTTCTGATGTTATTGTCGGCTCATTTCTTTTAGGAGTTCTTGTGGCACATTTGGTACACTGGAATGGGTTGTAGAATGTCCATTCCAACTTTGTATTCCCTCTCTTGTTTGCTATGAAGCACCGGTACGGGTAAGAGTATTGGTACTGGTACGATACGGATACGTCGATACGCTAAAATCCAAAATAAGTAGGGTACGGATACGGCTTGGTACGCTTGTAAAAAAATATTTATTTTTAATTTAGAGTAATGTAAAAATTAATTAAATGGTTTGCTTTGTTAAGATCCAACGTATAATTAACATTTAATGCCAAAAATAAATGTATAAATCCAAATTAAATGTCAATATATTAAATAACTTACAAACTATTGTTTAATTTTAAATCATGCTAAGTATAAAGCTAAAAATTAAAAAAAAAAGTTTAAAAAAATGAGTTTTATCTCTGTAGTAGAAAAAAATATTGTTTCAACTGAGGTACAGTACGGCTTGACTATATACCAAGTACGTCTGGATACGTCAAAAATTTAGAAGAAAAAATTTGGGTACATTTTTCGTGTACCCGGTACGTATGCAGAAGTATCATAGGAGGTATCATACGCCGGTAAGTACCCGGTACGGGTACGGCATATTTTTCGAAGTACCCGTGCTTCATAGCTTGTTTGCTACGCGTTATGTAAGTGTGAACAACTATTCCAATAAAAAAATGAGAATATTTATTCCTTCCTCCAAACTAGGAAACAAGCATTCCATTCTATCATAGAATCATTCTAAAACAATGTTTGGCTACAACCACCATGTCCTTCCACCACAACCACCACCACCACCGCTATTGCAACTACACCAATGCCATTCTACTATTATCGCCACCACCACAACTACCAGTATACCACCATCACCACTCTACAAAACACGTGCATAACCACAGCTACCCCACCACCAATGTTGCTGTGCCCACCATCACCACGCTAACCACAACCACACCCCACCATTACCACTCTACCACTGTCGCAACCATCGCCACCCTACCACCACAACCACTACCATTACACCTTACCACCAAACCACCACCACCAACATTACCACCCTATCGCCTCCATCGCCATGACTACCACCCGGCCATCATCATTACCCTACAAATCCCACCCATAGCCACCGCCATCCTACTACCACAACCGCCATTGCCACCCCATCTTCATCACTACCCACAGCCACCACCATCACCACCAGTACTGCTATCACCACCCCACCAACACAACCACACCACCCCTTACTACCTACCATCACCATCATTGCCACACCCACCATCACTGCCACACCCTACTACCGCGACCAACAAAATTGCCATCATCACCACTATCGCCATTGCCACCACCCTAAACACCACAACCACACCACACCCGCTACAACCACCAATGATGCCGTTGCCCCTAGCATGAGAATGGGAATCGTCATTCCCAGTGTTGTGAAAAGCACGCCTAGGCGCCAGGCGAGGCGAGGCGAGGCGAGGCGTACTCTTTGCGCCTGTACAGGTCCCAAGCGAGGCGACTTGAGGTAGGCTCGCGCCTTAGCCGCGACTTGAGCCAGGCGACAGAGGCGCAAGGCGCACGACTAGGCGCACTTGACCAAATACGACTGAAATGAACCCTAATCTATGTCGTTTTTCCTCTTTGCCTCGTCTTGGACTTCGACTTTGACTGTGGACCTCGATTCGCCTTCGACTTCGACTTCGCAGCGACTTCGACTGTGGACCTAGATTTGACTTCGCACAGGTATGCTTCGCCTCGCCATCTTCTTCTTCTCCTCGTCTTCTGGTCTCCCTCTTCTGGTCTCCTCTGATCTGTCACTCGATCTCAGTCCCTCTCTCGCTCTCTCACACCCTCTCTCTCTCTCGATCTCACTCTCTCTCTCTCTCCCCCTTCTTCTTCTTCTTATGGCTTCCATTCGACTTTATTTTATTTTATTTTTTTTATTATTATTATTTTTTTCCAATGATGTTAGGAAAATAAATAAATACAAATACAAAATAAATAAATAAATAAATATAAATACAAATACAAAATAATAAATAAATAAATAAATACAATGCTACTGGTCTTTTTTCCCCCTTTATCTGTTAGGGGAAAAAATAAATTCTGTATTTATTAAATTCTGTATTTATCTATATTTAATAAATTTTGTATTTATCTGTATTTAATAAATTCTGTATTTATCTGTTAGGGGAAAAAAATAAATTCTGTATATATTAAATTCTGTATTTATCTGTATTTAATAAATTCTGTATTTATCTGTCAGGGAAAAAAAATAAATTTTGTTAGGTGCTACTGGTTGGAGTCTCTGATTTTGTATTTATTGATTAAATTTGTTGTGTAGATTGTAGAAAATGACATCTGATTCTGTATTTATTGATTAGTCTATGTTAATTTTTCTATTTTTTACTAAGACTGTGCGCCTTACTTTAATAAAGCTCGCGCCTTGCCTTGCACCTAGGCCCCGAGAGACCTTCAGCGCCTTAGTGCGCCTTGATCCTTTAAAAACACTGGTCATTCCATTCCTACGTCATTCCATATTAGCAACCAAATCGTGGAAATGGAATGGGCATTTCATTCCATTCTTACATATCAAACATAGCCTTGGGAGTGTTATGGGAGAGAATGCCACAAATATGTGCATGCAGTTCCATAATGAGAGTGGGTCACTGAAGAAGATTAACCATACCAACATTGTATTTGTGCCAAAAATTAAGGATCCTAAGAGGGATTGCTACAAAATTATTGTGAAGGTGTTAGTTAACCGATTGAAGACAGTTCCTTCATCTATTATATCTTCTTCATAGAGTGCTTTTGTCCTAGGACATCTCATTATTGATAATATTTAGGTCGCTTTTGAGTTGATACACACTATGAAAAGACAACATAGTGAGCTTGGTTCCTTTGCATTGAAATTAGATATGAACAAGGTCAACAATCGCGTTGAAAGGGTGTTTTTGGAAAAGATGATGTATCAACTTGGTTTCCATTCTTCTTTGATTGCTAAGATTCTGAAATATTTGACGTTGGTTTTCTATATGGTGATCCTTAATAGGACTTCACCAAGGGAACCCTTTGTCTCCATATTTATTCCTCATTTTCACTGAAGGTTTATCGACATTGTTGAAACAAGCCGAGGATGAGTAAATATTCAAGGCATGCAAGCAACTCGTGGTAGTAATATGATAGGAAGGTGCATTAGATAGCTTGGGACAAGTTACGCAAATTGAAAGCAGCAGGGGGATTGGAATTTAGATCATTGCAAGCTTTACATTTGGCGTTATTGGCAAAGCAGGGTTGGCATTTACTCCATAATCCAAACTCTTCGATTTGCTTTTAAACAGTTTTGTTCTTTATTTGGTTCAACACTGTTTCAGTTTTGCACACCCATAGATTCACAAGACACTTCCTATTTCATTTAGTTTCATTCAATTTTTGTTACTGTTTTCCCAACAGGAAATTAGTTATTGAATAGAGGGTTTTTTTTTTTTTTTGTGGTAAAAGTGACTAGAGTTTTTTATTGTGTATAAATTCTAACAGATTGTATTTGAGTGTGAAATACAGTTTTGTTTCTATGTTATCTGAAGAGTTAACTCTAAGTCCCTTTTTTTGTGACAAATAGCAAACAAAAACTATTACTAGTAAAATTCCCACACACACAAAAAGCAAATATTTGGCAGCTAGGTATCCTCAAGCAAATAAGTAAATTAACCAACCATGTGCACATTCAACTTTGAAAATTCTCTTCATCACCAAGGGTCTAATTTTGACAATATAATTAGGCCTTGTATGTAGATTTTCTTTTAGATTGATCCAACAATCATATTCACATAATTGTTATATTTGTATTGTAAAAATAAACCATAAAACAAGTCAAATCAATCTATATTTATCATTAATGATCTACACACATGGTTCAACAAAATGAACAATTCAAAACACGACAAGGGAACCGGCGGTCGACCCAACAGGCCCAACAATACCCTCGGTCCACATTGAACGGGAGATCATCTCCCTTTCTTCAAAGTAAAATTTAGTTTTGTTTTAAATAATCTATGTAACATTTTTTTACCAAAAAAATTAATGATTGCATTCTATTTTTAGCAACTTGCTCTAGTGTATACATAGAATCATTCAAACACAAAAAGTTTGTCATAAATTTCTCAAATGAATTGTAAACACTCACCAGAGATGAATCACTCCCGCCCCAAAAACTCCATCCCACACAATCTGCAACAGCATATACACAAATTGGATTACAAAAAGTACATATTTACCTGTAATTACATAACTTAAATAGCAAAAACTACAGGAATTTTTTAAAAACCTTCATAAAAATAAATAAATAAATAAATAAAATTGAAGTTAAGAATAAAACAGTAAATACCGAGAGAAGAAGAGCAAATGGTGGCCGATTCGAGAACAACGAAAGCAATTCGTACGAAGAGAAAGGGCAAAATTAACCCAAGCATGACCACCGCCGGCAACAGCGTACGGTACGACAACCTCCGGCCCGCCGGCTTTCCCTTCGCCTTCATCACCTCCAAAACACCACCGCTAGCTCCGCCGCCGCCGCCGACGGCGCTCGATACCGTCACTCTCTTTGTTCCAGTCGCTGATATGTAGAACTTCATAAATCCCTTTCTCTCTATCTCTAACTAGTCCGATCTTTTTGGTGACACTTGTATCGATACAGAGCTCCAATTTCCTCTTCTTCTTCTTGAAGAAGAAGATTCTCATCTCCAAGATCTGATCATGTATACTTCATCCACTATACATATACATACATACATGTATAGAGAGAGAGAGAGAGAGAGAGAGAGAGAGAGAGCGCGAGAGATTGAGTTGGGGGGTTTTGGATTGAATCGAGTCGAATCTGTACTGAATGAATGTCACTTGGAAGCTACTACTGCAATAAATTCAGATCAGTGAATTGATTAGAATGATTAACAAAAATGATCTGCTTCTTGTGGAGATCAAAAGCATTAAATTCGCAATTACCTTGAGAGAGAGAGAGAGGACGAACCCAATAGCTCGGAAGATTGAAGTATTGCGTATACTATTGCTTGCCAGAGTGCAATATTACTTTTTGAGATAGAAACAATTGTATGGCAGGGGCTTGCCTCCAGTTCAGAAGTCCAGTCTGCTCATTGGCCTCTGTTTTTTTTGGTTGTTTATATTTTAAAGGTCATTGAGTATATTACTTTTATAAAAAATTATGTTAATTGGATAATAGATACTATCTATTCGGATTAATTTTTTTATAAATTGTTAATTTTTTAACCATTCATTTTTTTGACAAAAATGATCTGAATATATAGTATCCGTTATCTGATTAATGTGATTTTTTATAAGAATAATGTACTCCATAAATCTTAAAATATGAATTGTTCAAATTATCAAAAATGAGTTCAAAAGTAGGCGAACTAGACCGGACTATCTCAAATGTAAACCGGAGACATTCCCCTCTATTTATTTATGGGACACTTATTTATAAGTCCTATTTCGGATACTTATGCTATGTTAAGCCCTGTGTAATTTTTTATAGAGTGTCAAGTCCTATTTAGATAGAAATGTATTCCACAAGATCCTATAAGTTGTAAATAAATTGCATTAATATATTATTATACACTATAATGGCAAAACCATATATAAGAAATTGAATGTTACTATAGAAAGTAACATTTTCACATTCAATTAAAAAAATCAAAAACCTAGTAAGTTTGCGAAACGTAACGTGACACGTTACGTTACGTTTATGTAATGTCTCATCTGATATGGTCACGTTATGTTACTTTTATGTAGGTGTCACGTTACGTTTCGCAAACTTAATCTATGGTAACATTCAATTTCCTATATATGGTTTTACCATTATTTATGATATTAACAACTAATATTGAGAGTAAATGTATCAACAAACTTTTATGGGAACATAAATTTTTTAGTAAGACCATATGTAACATAAGTCTTCCTAATATGACTTATAAATAATTTTCCCTTTGTTTATACAATTCAAACAATAAAATAATTAATAAACAAATCATAAAACATTATTAAAAAAAAAATTGTCAATGAATATCCTGAGACACAAAGAAAGAAATTTAAATTAAGGTTTTCATTATTTTCAAAATAATTTTTTACAAAAAAATTGATATTAAATAATATTTCAAAATCAATTACTTAATAAATTACACAAGATGGAAAAATTGATATTAAATAATATTTCAAAATCAATTACTTAATAAATTACACAAGATGGAATAATTTTTGTATACAAATAGGGTATATGTTCAGTAGTATTTTCTATTATTGTAATTGACTTTAACAATAAGATTCACTATATTTATGTTGAGTGTTTGGAGAACAATAAAAAATAAAAAATGCTAGAGGTCTCAACATTTCTACCAAATGTCTCACATGAATGTGTACCCCACACTTATGTGAGACCTATTCCATATGAGATATTTGGTAAAAATTTTAATATTCTTAACATTACTCATAGAACATATATACTTTTATAATTAATAAGCCCTTATAGACTTAATAATACCTTCTAATTCAATCTGGGACCAAGGAAAGCCAGGCCCTTCTCACTAACACCGTGGCTGATTTTTTTTTTGTCAGCTTTTGTATTTTGTATTTATTTATTTATTTTAGTTTGTTTTAAGTTTTTTGTTTGATTCTTTGAGACCTTGCTGTTGTCCGCTTCTCTAAGGCTCACATACATTAGAGAACTTGAGGGGATCGTGGAGCTCATCACATATTTTATTTTGATGATTTAAATTATTTATTTTTAAAATTTATTAAGTAAAATATTTATATAAAAAATTAAAATGATCAAATATTAGTAGTTGTATATTTAAATTAATTTTATAATATAAAAAAATGAATAATTATTCTTAAAATTATATTTGTCATTTATGTTTTTTAAAAACATATTGATTCAAATATCTAGCAGTTAATATCCAATCATCTTGATTTTTTTTTATTGATATTCTACTTAATGAATCTAAAAAAATAAATAGTTTGGATCATTAAATTAAAGTTTCAAAACGAATCAATTAAGGGTTCGTTTGGGAAGTAGGGTTCGTTTGGGAAGTAGTCTGAGACTAAAAAGCCTTGTTCATAAAGGGTTTTCTAGCTTTTTTGACTTTTTGTGAAAGAAATAATATAATAATTTTGGGTTGAATGTGATATTTTATCTTATTGGATTAAAAAGTCTATTTTATCTTTTGTGTCTAAAAAAACCTCAATCTTATCAACAATGATTCATCCCACTAAAAACATCACCACTAATAGCACTAATGCATTAAAAAAGTAAAAAAAAAAAATTAAAAAAATACAACTCCAAAACCAAAACATTACATCATTAATGACGAGATCCACTACCACCTAATTAGTGGAGCACTAATTAGTGCTCCCAAGCATTTCTCTTTCCCATACGATTGCTTGCCAGGGTGCAATATTACTTTTTGAGATAGAGAACGAAATAATGGGCCAAGTCTCATATTAGAGAGTGTTGCTACATTCATGAGAGCTCACTATGGTCCCTTTTTAATAATTTGAATCGTTGAATATATAGAATTTGTCGAGTGTTATATAATTATAAAAAATCACATTGATCAGATATCGATACCTAAGTGATCAAATCAGTTTTGTATATAAAAAAATGAGCGGTGAAAAAATTAATGGTTGACAGAAAACTGTTTCGATAAGATAGCAATCGATATCCGATCAATGTGATTTTTTACATGCATATAGTACTCGACGAATTCTACACATTGAGCAGCTAGGATTATCGAAACAGAATCCGTGGTAGGCCCTCACAAATTCAACAACACTCTCCAATCCAATCTTGGAGTAGAGGGAAGCCACTGCCGAAATAATTATATTTGTCTTCTTAATAAATAAAAAAGTTATTTGTTTATACAACCCTCGTTTGAAAGAGATAATTTAGTTTTATTTTTTAGTTATTTTAGTTTTATTTTTTAGTTATTTTAATTTAATTAAAAAAAATTGTTCAAGATAAAAAATCTTGATTTTTAATTGATTTAATAATTATAAGAAAAAAAAGTGAAATGACTATAATTTAGATATGACATTTTATTTTATTGGTTAAATTAGCATGTTTTATTTTTATTAACTAATTTAACCAAAGCTGTCGTTTGGCAAGTCGGTTGGGTTTGAGTTGGGACTAAAAAAATACAAAAGATAAAATAGACTAAACAAGTCAACAAGATAAAATGTTACATTTAAACCATAATTATTTCACATATTTTTTTACAAGAAATTTTTTAAAAAAAGCCAAAAAATAATTTCCAAACGAAACTAATTTAGCCAAATTTAAGTAAAAAATCAGACTAAAAAAATTCTTCAAATGGAACCAAAATAACTTATGTCAAATGCAACTCATTCAATCAATAAAATAAATAATAAACAAATCATAAAACATTATTAATAAAAAAAAAATGTCTTCCTAACTAGGAAACACTATGCTATACTCTATTCTCGCGATAAATAATATATAATTTATAATTCTAAAATGAAATTACGATTGTTACGCTTTTTTTGTAATAATGGGCTATTTTGCAAAGATTGTTATAATTAACTTTTTGGTTAAAAGTTGTTTATAAGTAATTTTTTTGTGAGAGATGAAGTGGGTTATAATTCGGGAAGTGGATTATAACCTACTTCACAAAAGGGGCCAATGTTACATATTTGTTATTTAAATAATTTTTAATCACAAAATATGTAACAGTATTATAAAATATTTAATATTATTATAAAAATATATAATTTTATTTTTAATCACAAATTATCATAATTTTTACCATAAAAATATGTAATATTTACTCAAAAAATATATAACATCACAAAAACACGTGGAAAGATGTGTGCCATAAAGTTTTTCTGCTAATAAATATATTGAGACACAAAATAAAAAATTTAAATTAAACTTTTCATTATTTTTAAAATATAATATTCGGCTTAATAAATTACATAAGGGCAAATTACATATACCTCCTTCAAGGTTTAGCTAAATTATAGATATCCCTTAAAGTTTCGAAAATTACAGATACCTCCCTGAGATTTATATTTTCATAACAAATTATTCCCTGAGATTTATATTTTCATAACAATTTACCCCCTAATTTGTTATGTAAATATAACATTCAGAGGAGTATTTGTAATTTCTCAAATCTCAAGGTATATGTAATTTGCCCATTACACAATGACATGATATTTTGAACTCAGAATTTAATTGAGAACTGATAGCCAGAAATGCCAAAACTAATGCCGCGTTGAAACGAGTGGGAAACAGAAGGTTGTTTAGCATATTTTTTTTTATTTTTTCAAGTCATGTTATTTTTTTATTTATTTTTTTTATATCTTTTCATAAAAAATAAAAATATATATATATTTATTCAGATCATCTAAAATACCATCTAACTTTTTTTTCTTTTTATTTTTTAAATTATTATTCTCACTCCACTTTATTCTAAATACACTTTATTTTTTATTCTTGTTATACATAATTACTATTCTCACTTCACTTTGCTCCAAATACACTTTATTCTTTATCTTTATTAAACATAGTTACTATTCTCACTCTATTTTATTTTAAATGCACTTCATTCTATGTATAATAAGGGCATAGAATATAATGCATTTTGAGCAAAATAAAATGGGAATAGCACCTTCCTTTTTTGTGTTAAAATTAAAATATTAATGAATTAATAAATTAAATTATTATTAGTGAGCTTCATTTCTTAAGTTCTCTATGTGTCCAAATTTGAACCTCTCATGAAAATAAAATAATACAATCACTTGATTTAAGCTCAAATTCACTTCATATAGCTTCTCACAACTCTCTTTGGATGGGATTATAGAGAGATTAAAATATTAATTTTAAATATATATATATATATATATATATATAAATAAGACCCCCAAAAAATATCCATTTTAAGGGCAAATAGGCTTTCAATAAATCTGAAAGCAATTCGATGTAACCTAAAAATAGAGACATGTATGAGGAGGTCGGCCTCATAGTAGCTTTGTCATTGTAGTAATAATAATGCTTTCCAGATGGGGCTATCGTTGTCCTTGGTTTTTGCTATAACTTATGTTTGGGAAGGTGGGTTTGTGGATTTTTTAGTTAA